ACACATGCCAACAGTCCATTAAGGAAAACTGGGCGTCAAAGCGTCCTGCATGCATCAGTAGTATTCTCCTTGGTGGCATGATGACCTTTTCCTGTTGGAAGCAGCTTACAGGACCAGGCAAACATTCCGAGAGGGAAGATCCTTCTTAGGGACATGCGAAAGTGTTTGGAATGTGATTACTGACTCGGAGTGGACAAAACAAATATCTGTTGAACTCAGTCCCTCAAGCCAAGGAAGTCCTTCCTAACACGGCTCGTAAACCTCATAACCTGTGTACAGGGTAGGAAATAAATACACAGAAAGAGGGTATATCCAAATACCATTGCCTTAGGAAATAGGTATTCCACAAAGGATGAGGAGTTAAAAACTTTAAAGTTACATCCACAAAGGACGAAGAGTGAAGTTAAAATTTAAAGTTACATTGACAAAGGACGAAGAGTTAAGTTAAAATTTAAAGTTACACCAACAAAGGACAAAGAGTTAAGTTAAAATTTAAAGTTACATCGACAAAGGACAAAGAGTTAAGTTAAAATTTAAAGTTACACCAACAAAGGACAAAGAGTTAAGTTAAAATTTAAAGTTACATCGACAAAGGACAAAGAGTTAAGTTAAAATTTAAAGTTACACCAACAAAGGACGAAGAGTGAAGTTAAAATTTAAAGTTACATCGACAAGGACGATGAAGGATAACAGCCCTTTTTGGACAGGCATTTAAAGAAATAGAATGGTAGAATTTGTAGGGCAGGTCATGCTTACTCTTTTCACGAACACCAGGTTCATTTATATAAGTTCATATAAGTTTCACCGCTATTTTGCCTTTACGAGAAATGGAATCTGTTCTGGTGGATAATCGAGACTGGCTCTTCTCTGGCGTGGTGTTATCAAAATGTATTCATATGACTGAACCCAAGGCGATGTTCATTTGAAACCTGAGTGCACTGGGGTCATAATGGAGCACTCTGAGCATGATGTCCAGCATAGACAAAGCATAATACTAATGGACTTTCATGATTAAATTGTATAAACTATATTTAAAAGAATTAGGGATAGGTATTGGATGTGTTTTACAATGCACAAGGCCATATTGTGATACGTATCACAATATATTGTATGATTCAAAATTTTAAATTCAGAAGCAATTTGAAACATCAATGCAGGCACTGAAGTCCATAAATGAAACAAAACAAGATGCTGGAAAAGCATACTGTTTACTAATTTAATAAATACGCAAAGATGCACGCTCCGGGACAGTGATGAGTGGTGTTACATAAGCATAACATTAAACATATGATAGAAATTGCTATTTGAAATCAACCGATACACAGAGCATTAAAACATGATATTGTGATACGTATCATGGAGAGAATGAACCTCAATTTCGCCGATATACTGGTAATGCACCCTTAATGAGAATATACGCTTACAAATACTTCTATCTGCAAAGCTAGGTCAGACAATATCTGCCCAGCTAGTCATGCATCCTCTAGAAGACAACCTGTTGACACACATTAGATAAGTCCCATCAGTCAACACTGAACAGACAATCCTAGCCCTTGGGTAAAGGTCAGAGGGGGTCCAGGACGTCCCCTAGAGGACATTGGGGGGACAGTGGCACACGGATTAAGAAGCAAGCACACTTAAACCAATGAACAGTTCAACATTGTACTACACTCCCTCGTTCATCACTCAAAACAATAGGTTAAATCTACACAAAGGCTCCCTGGTCGGAATAATCTTTTTTTCCTTGTTTGTTACATTTTGTTATAGTTTGCACCCCAGATATCTCACGTTTGCTTTATCAACTTTGTACATCCAAACATATCCCTGGAATGTCCTTCCCTCATACAAAGGTCTTGTTGGCAATATATCTTAGGAACACTTTTTAAATACCAACACTTAATTTCTTAATTACTAAGTTGACAGAAAAAGAAATTGTGTTGACAATCTCATGAACACTAAACTTATTGTATATAAACATGTTTCTGAGACTTAATCTTGTAAGAGTTTTGTTTGTTTGATGAAACAAAAAGTGAGTGAGCGAGTTAAAATTTAACGTCGCATTGGCATTATTTCAGCCACATAGCGACGAGTAAAAGCAGAACATTTTTCCATGAAACACCAAGTTTTTCATTACCGTAATAGTTACACACTTGTAAGTAAAGAACAAAGGTTTTGTCAAACAAATAATTCTAATGTGTAATATTTGGGGTCAGTGGATTCGTAATCCAGGAATAAATACAACACCACAACTCCTTTCCTCAAATTACAACACCCTGTAAAACAAACAGATGCACACATTATCCATTGTTTTCTCTTTGCAATCAGCTTATCTGAAGGAACTACACACAAGACAGAACTGAATAATCCATCCCCATACAGATTACACAAGGAAGTCCTGTTGATGTAAACCTATATGGCCGAGTGGAACATGATATTATGACGGCCTTGTATTCATAACTTTACCCCTGCACATCTGACCTACATTTTCCCATGAAATCAATCGCGTGTTGATACGGGTATAGTCACACCTCAACATAATTATGTCTAGCTTGTAGCCATGAAATCAATCGCATGTTGATACGGGTATCGTCATACCTCAACATATGTCTAGCTTGTAGCCATGAAATCACTCGCATGTTGATACGGGTATCGTCATACCTCAACATATGTCTAGCTTGTAGCCATGAAATCAATCACATGTTGATATGGGTATCGTCATACCTCAACATATGTCTAGCTTGTAGCCGTGAAATCAATCGCATGTTGATACGGGTATCGTCATACCTCAACATATGTCTAGCTTGTAGCCATGAAATCACTCGCATGTTGATACGGGTATCGTCATACCTCAACATATGTCCAGCTTGTAGAAATGAAAACAATCTCATGTTGATACAGGTATCGTCATACCTCAACATATGTCTAGCTTGTAGCCATGAAATCACTCGCATGTTCATACGGGTATCGTCATACCTCAACATATGTCTAGCTTGTAGCCATGAAATCAATCTCATGTTGACATGGGTATCGTCATACCTCAACATATGTCTAGCTTGTAGCCATGAAAATATGATGGCAATACTATCAATGAATTTGTCAGTTGCTTCAATCATGTTACAGTAACAGTTATTCCATATATATATTTACATGAATTGAAAATCAGAGACGATTTATTAATGATTGAGTATATAGCAGCTTGCATCAATCATGATATAGTACAGTATATATGTTGACATGAATTAGATGAAATTACAGATGAAATAATATCATTGAGTACATAACAGCTTGCACCAATTGTGATGCAGTATATACACTATGTATACTTGAACTGAAAATCATAGATGAAATATACATGATTAAGTATATAACAGCTTGTATCAATCATGACAGATATACCATGTCTACATGAATTAGATGAAATAATAAATGAAATATTTACCACTGAACACATCTCCTTAAACTGTTGATGATCAAGTTACACTTCTTGAAATGTATATCATTAAGAACATCATTATCTCTGTTCAATTCAAGTTTGTAATTGAGCTTAAAATAATTTCAAGAATTTATATTAAATGGGAATCTAAATCTACCTTCTTCAAATCTATTTTGAACAAAATTAAGATCATGTAAATTCCTAATAAAATTTTCATAAAATTAATGCCCATTAATACTATATATAGCATAGTTGATAGCACTGAAAAATCAAAACATTCTTTTATCTGAGTGGTCATCAGCGTTCTTGTGCATGAAGAATGAAATTCAGATATAAGGAACTGTTTTTAGGGGAACATTATTCGATATTATAGGAGGTCTGGGTCGTGAGGTTTGTTCCTGCTGCATTTGAATCTAGAACGACCCACACCTTCATTCAGTGTCTGCCATCAGGGTTATGAGAAGGATCCCTTGACATTCAGGCTAATTTAAAACACTGTCCGATTAATCCTGATGGTAGCTGAAATGATCCGGATTACAAATTTCCAGATTAATTCATCATGGCTATGGGGTAATGTCACTTTCTACACATTGAGGCAGTCCCAGCTGTAATCATTCAGAATGTGGGTTGTCCTGATGAACAGGGTGTGTACTAGCAAGGTCTCACTGTATCTAGTTATCATGAATTGTTGATCGACAATTCCTTAATTCTTCATTTGATCATGTAGTAATTCATAACATTCCTGGAATCCTACAACTGACTTTGCCTTTAGCCGATATTTCCTATTATGGAAAGTGTTTTTGTCGCTTTGAAATAGACATTGCCCATTGGTTAAGGTCTTTCAAAGACAATGTACACCCAATTTATGAACAACAACCTCTGTATTTACTGTAAAGGTGACATTTCGGGAATAGATCATTATTCCTTGCCTTGCTTGACAACAGTATAAGGAAACGTCGCCTTTACAGTAAATAAAGAAGTTGTTATCCATAAAGTGTGTCTACTTTGTCATCCGTCAACTTCTGAGTAATGTCTATCAAACGATTCAGGTCTTCCGAAGGAATCATGAAGAAAATTATTATTTACTAAAAACAACAACGAAAAATCATTCATTCTGACTAAATTACATCTAAGTGTTTGGATTTCAAACTGAAGAAGAAGAGAGTTGACTCTACAATATATACCGTCCTCCATGTCTTCTGTTTACATGTATAGTGTTATAAAGTTGAGGTGAGAGGACATGTTGTCTTGTTTTTTTTTTCATTTCCCATATACATGTACATATACAGCAATAAGTGTCATATACAGAGTATTCATACCACCATAAGCAGTTTCATGATCAGAGGGTATTCGTACCAACATACCAACAGTATTTATAAATATACAGGACTATTAGAATCTTGTTCATTCCTCTTTTGAGAGGTAATATTAACATTTATAAAAACTGGACATTTGAAGATATTCAAGTGTTGATAAATTTAAATAAGTGTACTGAGAGTAAGAAACTACACTAAAATAGGGAGAAAATCAGAGGGATAAAAAGGTGTGAGGGCATGGTTTTACTTACCCTCGTGTTACAGGTAATCCCAGTGAACTCCTCACTACAGTTGCACATAAACCCTGCTGTTTCCTCCTGACAGGATCCATTGTTGCTACACACTGTACCGTTGCAGTAGTCCACATTCTGCTGACACCTGGATGGGACAGGTAAACACAGGTAGAGAAAACTCGTTAACACAACCACCACAGTCAAAGGTAGATTTATCCCCGAATCCGCCATGTAGACTCCTGGAGGTCTACAGCATCCTATCCTGTGTCAAACCACTGCGTCCGAACCTAACGAGCTGTACAGGTAAAACTACAACATAGCGAAGCGTCATCAAGGTGAGGTTGAATCTGACACGAGTGAAATACTGTCACTCTGGGACCGTCGTTCTTTGCCGACTGCTATATATAGTCACTAGGTCGTATCTGGCTCAGAGCGAGTCTCCCTTGCACAGGTAACAAGTCCCCTCACAGGTAACGAGTTGGCCAGTTAAGTAGCCAGGTATGGGAACCAGGCAGGTAAATCATGCAGGTATATCCTCTCACTGTAGACTTTATCAGGCTATAAATCTGCCTGCTCTATATCTTACCCACTGTGGACTGAAGGGAAGGTGTACAGCACTACAACCCTTGTGCTGGACAGTGGTCAACTATGGTCTGTATCAAACTGATGACCGGTGATATCACCCATATCACATGTTTATTATAACCTTATACTCTTGCAATCCTAATATATATCTATTACATTAATTCTCATATTCTACTCATAATTTCCTTTGACATCTTTGACTAAAGACTATTTTGTCCCTAGCAAATGTTGAGTGGGATATATTTGTTTACACTTATTTTTTATTTTTTTAAAACAATTATAACATGAATTCACTTATCTGTTTATGTACATTTGAGAAATAAATATTCAAAATTATATGCAAATGACTATAATGACCCAAGAAAATGTTTATACAACATTATTAAAGACTATCACATTTATATGAATATGCAGGATAACACTGGTATCTGAAGTCCTAAAAAGATTGGATGGTCTGGCTGGCATTTTCACCGGCACACATTTCAAGAAACAGGATATAGCCAGTGTGAAGTCAAATATTTCAGCATAAAGAAAAGTCCCTGAGTCAACAATACAACCGGTGAAGCGGAACAGGTCAGAGTGGGTGTGATTAACAGCCATGCAGAAACCACTTGCAGATAAGGGTCACTTACTTTCCCCACAACACTACCTCCATTCTGTCCCAACACAACTCACACCCACAATACACACATCTTATTCCAGGATCACACACTGACATTTCACACAGACTAAAATTCAAAACATTAACTTCAATTTAAAAATATTTTTTGAGACGAGCCCTCACTGAGCTCCTAGCAACAGTTGTTGGTCTGTCTGCGTTGTAGTGTTGTGGTGTTGTGCATTGATTGATCAGTGTATAAGCTTAGCAGATGACGACCACAATGCCATGTCTGAACTGCTTTATAACGTCCGGTTCTCTTGATGGTTGCATATTGATATTCAGCAGCGTGGGAGTGGTGAAGCATGATGGTGATTGCGTACATGTATTGACTCACTGGTGTTTATTGATACACCTGATCCTACACCACACCCTGTAAAAAGATATGTTTACTTGGTTTAGGTTCTGTGTCATGTCACTCTGACTTTTCATCATTTGAAAATTTGAATCGTTAATCACTTGCTAGTCAAACTGTTGGCTATAGCTGGATAAGATATTAAATACAATTGGTGGAAGAGGATTTGGAATACAATGTTAAGATCTTTCAGCAACAGGCTTTAGATTTCTAACACCATACACACCAACACACACAAGGGGCCATCAGACCATCTCGGGGGTCGGGTCCTTGTTTTCGCACACTGACCTTGTCAAGAATAGTTATTTGTATGATGTGTCAGAGCTACTTTATGCCCCATCATCTCAATTATGTTTTCCATTCTCCTGATGAAGGAGGGGCGGTCAGGTAGCCTAGTGGTTAAAGAGTTCGCTCGTCACGTCGAAGACCCGGGTTCGATTCCCGACATGGGTACAATGTGTGAAGCCCATTTCTGGTGTCCCCCGCCGTGATATTGCTGGAATATTGCTAAAAGCGGCATAAAACCATACTCACTCACTCACTCACACAAACACACACTGCCATAACGGGAGTAAAGTTGGTTGGTTTGTTGTTTAACGCCGCACTCTGCAATATTCCAGCTATATGACAGCCGTCTGTAAATAATCGAGTCTGGACCAGATAATCCAGTGATTGACATCATGAGCATCGATCCATGCAATTGGGATCGATGATATTCATCAACCAAGTCAGCAAACCTGACCAACCGATCCCGTTAGTCGCCTCTCAAGACAAGCATAGTCGCCTTTTACGGCAAGCATGGGTTGCTGAAGACCTATTCTACCCCGGATCTTCACGGGTAACAGGAGTAAAGAAGACATGGAAGAATGTTTCTAGACTTGCTCAGAGGCTGATATTTGCCCCAAAGTCATTATCAGTAAAGAGTCCAAATTTGGAATGGTTAAATGTTATCATTTTGCTGATGTGACTAATGTAATTCACTGACAACAGGACAATAAATAAGAGGCTTTGATGCTTAGTGTTGCACAACTGCACTGACTACATTGTAATAATACACTAAAAATAACTTGGAAATTTGGAAAATAATATCTTAAAAAATATCCCAATTTTTAACAAAATAATTATTTTTGCCTGCCAAGGGCTTAGATTAGAATCCTATTTAATCTCAGTCAGATCACACACAAACAAAACTTTCGGAATGTCGACGGTTTGATGTTATTAGTTCTGCTTACATTTCATTTTACATAAAAAAACAAACTAAATTTTCTATCTAAACAAACATTTTAAAGTTTTTCAAAAAATCTATTTTGTCAACAAAACAATTAAATAGGTCGTTAAAATATGTCTTCTTTTGTTCTAGAGTTTTTAAATACATCTTTTGACAAATAACCTGTCATTTTTCAGTATGTCTGGTTTCAGAAAACCCTGGAGGTTATCCACAGACAAAAGCTCCTACATTGTACCCTAATCTGAGTGCGTCAGCTCTCAAACCATCATGTCGGCTCTCACCAAACAAATTCCAATGGCCATTGTAAATTCCACAAGATGTTGACATTTTGACTGAGGCATGATGGGAGGGAGGTGAGAGGCAGGTGCGACAGCCACCTTTCCCCCTGCAATGTTACATACTTCCACAGCTAAAAACAATTTAAAACAGCATTTCTGTTCGTTTTTTTTCTGTATTTAATAGTTATTGCCCTAAAAAAAATTGAAAAATTAATAACTCAATTATTTGCCTTTATTAATTTTGAGTATCAAAATTTTTGCTGGCGGTTGTGTTTCGATTCACTGAGCAGAGCGCATTTCAAACATTATGAATATCAATTATTCAGTTGGACTAGCGGCCATCTGACAGACACTTCAGTGATTGATCGTTCACAAACAGGAAGTAAGAGATCCCAGCCACGACAAAACATGACATGAACACTCAGATAATCACACCTCGACACTTTCCCCATAGTCTGCAAGGTGTGAAAGCTAAGCGTGATGGAATATAGAATACCCAATATGTTTTAGTTCATGCATGCAGTTTAATTTCTCACTTTTGCCTGCTATTTTGCTTTTGATGTTTGTGTGAGTTGAAAATTATCACCCTATACAAATTTTCACCAATATTTTCACAATACCAATTCTGTGGTATAGTGGATAGAGCCTCTGACCAGAGATGGTTCGATCCCCTGGCCACAACATGCCAAATGACGGTAATGGATGGTACTTGTTAACTTGCCTGGTGCTCAGCATTAGGGAGCTAAAACAAGGGCTGGTCGGTTTGGAGTCAGTATACTGTGTCTGAGAGGGGGTATTCATGTTAAACTGCAGCATGGTATCTCAGTGGGCTAGCACAATAATACCAGCATTAGTCCGGACTAGAACAGGCAGCCACGCACACGCACACGCACACACGCAAGCACACATGCGCATGCATGTTGCTATATAAGTACAATAATCATGAACCCCCATTCAACCCCTGTTAAACCTCCATTTCACCTCACCTCACCTCAAAAAGCCATTGCATGGGAAATAACTTGTGTTTTGTTTATCTGTCATGAGAAACACATAGCATGAAGGGAAACGATGTGTAACTGTGGCATGGTGGGAGATTAAATTTGTTTTTATTTAAATCCATCCTTCATGTCTTCCTCATCGTAAGTTCTCTTTTCAGCAACTTCAAATCTTTTAAACAGGATTGAATGAATCTCATCATACCTATCCTCTCTTTATTCTACCCATACACGCAACCTTTCATCATTCATACTTGATACCAGATTGCAGAACCCCACACCATGCATAGCCATGACACGTCTTGGACAGTCAAGTTATGGCGACAGTTTAAAAAAAAAAGTTTTTTATTTAACACCACACTCCATATTCTAGCTTATGATTACAACTAATCAAGTCTTGACCACACAATCTAGAGATCGATATTGTGAACAGCGATCCACTCTGTCGGGTACAATGACATGCAATCAACAAAGTCCTGAGTCTGATCGCCCGATCCATTCGGCTTCCTCTCATGACCAGCATGGGTTTCCAGGGACCCAGATACCCCAGGGGGTTTTGGCAACAGGACAACTTAAGACAGCATCTTGCAACAACATAACTACTGTATTCGACGTAATAAGCGCCCAGGGTGCTCTCAAAATTAGAAATAGGGGGCTCTTATTAGAAACAGAGTTGAAAGGTAAATTTCGTGGTTTATGCTGACAGCGTGAAATGTTTATGTACGACAGATATATTTTTCCCGAATTTAATTGCCCATAATTAAGGGTGCATATAACACATGAGTGTGTATTATATGCGAAAAAATAGGTCTTGTGCACATTGATCAATCGGAAGGGGTGCCAATTGGGATTGTTCACTAGCCAATATATTAGCAAATATCACCGTGAGATATCTTATTAGAGCTGGGCGCTTATTATGTCGAATACGGTAAGTCGGTTTAGAGGTCTAATGATGAATCATAACTGTTTATGTTGCCAAAAAACAACTCAAGGATCAAGGAGCTTGATACAACTCAAATATATTGTCCTTACAAAGTAATGTGGTTGAGTGTCTTCTTAAAATCAACCCCAAAAATCAGAAAAGTATATCAAGCATTTTCTTAAATCTATCCCAGAAAATCTTCACATCCTACAGGTGAATGCCTTCACAGGCAAATTCAGCCATCGGGTGTTGTTGAGTCAGTGTATGGCAAGATGAAGAGGTGTGTTTACAACTTGATGACAGACTATCAATCACTGATTAGACGCGACCTTGTAAGTGACAACATTTATTGACAGTTACAAGGATAATGCCCTAAGTCTGACCGCTGGACAGGAGATGCCAGACACTGAACCCTTTCAATGGAGAATTTACTAATATTTTGATATTGATATTCACTCCCAAATGAACCATTTATCCATAAACGTACATTCAAAGATGCACAAGGATTAGATTAAGTGAGTTGATTTAACGCTACTTTGAACAGTGTTTCAGTCACGTCGTGTCAGAGAGAAGGCAGGAAAGCCTGAAGCCTGATGCAGGTCTCAGATGTTCACCACTTCAGTGTGACCTACAAGCATGGGTATGGTGCTGACAACCCAAGACACATTAGGGGGTGAACCAGGATTCGAACCCATGGTCATTGGGTTTCGGCAAACATAAGGAATGCAACCCTGCAACTCTGCAACCAAAATTCATTCCCCTACTTCATACGTGTATTCTCTCTTATCAAATTTGTTAAATGACTGTGATTTTTTTTAAAATCTGACAAATGTTGACTCTTAGAGATTATTTGCCAAGTGTGTTTATGTATCAAAATATCCCATATTAGGAGTAAATATTACATTATTTAAATGTATCTAATTGAAGCGTAACACATACTGCTATTGACTATAATGAAACCGTGCAGGATCATCAAGCCTGCAATATTTATGACATTGTGCCAAATAGTGTGCAGCCATGGCCATTCACATATCACCCACACCAGGAAACCACTATGTGACGATTTAGGGAACATCCTACAATAGTTTTTGAGGAAGTAAACTCGATATCTATGAACAGAGCATACTAAAAGTATCCCTGCTAGGTGACCTCGATCATTCGCATAGATATTGCAAGTTTATCGGTCGGTTTATTGCATCAATAGGACTAACCAGGGCTGCAATGAATACACTGTGAGACGAATACGATTCGTATCACAAATTTTGGGTAACGAATACGAATAGCAATTCACGAATACAATAACAAGTCAGCAGTTGATGTATTATTTGTTGTAATCAGTGAAACATTAACAACATAAATTATTTGACATGGTTTGTTAATTATTAATATATTTTACATTTAGATACTGCACTTATCCAGGAACTAGTATCTGCAGAAATGCGACAATTACCAGTGATCACAATACTGTCAAATTAAATATTATGAGAGTGTTGTCTTGTGAAGACATCTATGCCTATATTATGTTCTTATGGACATTTTTAGGTACAGGGTATGTAAATACACATGACTGCATCTTCATAAATATTCGATTCTAGTGGCCACGAATAACAAATTTAATTCATGAATGGATACGGTTCGATTCATTGAATACACGAGTGAATCGTAACAGCCCTACTAACCATCATACGATAAATTTATTTACCACCCTAACCTACATTTTCCCACCAAGCCACCAAGTTTGACATGTTATTGGCACAACACAAATACCAGAAGGACAAGTGTTGAATACATTATGACCCAGTAATAGAAGAGAAAGCACTGACAGTGATCAATCTAAGTCAAACAGTCATGTCCTTATGTTCTCAACTTGCTTCCTGACACAAACTTAATTTCACCAAAACTTGTTTCTGTAGCACTTTCAGTCCATCAACTGTATCAAGATCATTGATAGGATGTACTGGCAATTCTCACTTACAACTGAATAGACAACATTTCAGATAATACAGAACACATGCTTCTATGGACCATCTTGGTCCTCAGTGAGGGAGGGAGTATGTTTTTTAGACCGCTTTCAGCAATATTCCAGCTATATTGCCAGATTGCCATCAGGACCCACAGACTTCAGAAGCAGCAGGCCCTGACTGAGTGAGTGAGTGAGTTTGGTTTTACAGCGATTTGAGCAATATTACAGCAATATCATGGCAAGGGACACCAGAAATGGGCTTCACACATTGTACCTATGTTGGGAATTGAACCTGGGTCTTTGGGACGAGTGAATGCTTAAACCACTAGGCTACCTGACTGCCCGAATTATTGTGGTTAAAAAATTTCGTTCTTCGCGCCCCGGTTCAATTGCCCACATGTGTATCCCATTTCTCGTTTCCACCAACGTGATATGCTGGAATACTGCTAAAAGTGGCATAAAACCACTCACTTCCTCACTGTAGAATACATTTCTTATCTCCCTTTAAACATTCCCAGCAACACCATGACCAAAATCCAAAACTTGACATGGCGATAATGAAATGAAAATCAGTTAGTGAATGAAAATTTCAAAAATTTCAAAATTTGTCAAATATGTTTGGAGAGAATCAGTTTCTCATCTTATTGGAACAGAAACACTTCCTGGGCTCCGTTCCACAAAGCGATCTTAGCGCTACAACTACCGTAAGCCTATGTTAAAGTATGGGAGTTATGATCACTTTAGCGCTAAGATTGCTGTGTGGAATGGGGTCCTGTATGCCAAACCACAAATATTACTTTGTGACACCTGCCATGATGCGAAGACTTACCTGTCCCCACTGTATCCTCTGCGGCACTTGCAGCTGAAGCTGTTCACACCATCGACACACACGCCACCATTCTGACATGACGATGCCGTACAGTCGTCGATATTGATCTCACACCACTGCCCCGTAAAACCAGTCCGACATGCACAGGTCGGCTTGCCATTCCAGCCAATCTCACATGTGGCGCCATTTTTACCACTGATGCTCGGAGACGGATCCTTTCGACAGCCATCCAGGAGGTTAACAATGCTCGCTGCAATGAACTTCTCAGTTCTCATATCGTTGTTGAAAAATGTGTTATCGTAGTAAAATGGGAGCAATATTCCTCCAATTCGAACTTCCTCCAGACAACCTTTATATGGCTGTTCCCAAGACTGGCCTGGTCCTGTTCCGCCAATGTAAATCTTTGCCCCATTCTGTATCAAGTTGGTAAGGTTTGTTAGGGTATTGTCAACGTTCACATCAGCCTCTTTCAAAATAGTGCTATTGAGAAGCACCTGGAGGTTTATGTCATTGTCCTTCATGGTCATCTTAATGTCATACTGCTGTCCATCATTGACCACTTGGTGGACATTAAGCACACTTGAAATCTCATCCTTTAGCTTATAGTTCAGCTGTACATTTCCTCCGGCAACACGCAGCTTCATGAAGTGTTGGCCATGTTGGATGTGAAGGAGAGCTCCGTACAGTACTCCTGTTCTGAGCTTCAGGCTCACAGAGTGAATCTCTCTGTCTGACTCCAAGATAGCTGTGTAGGAAGCTAAGCTGGTGGCACCGTTAAAGGTAGAACTGCTGATACCTTAAAACATAAAACAGAAAATGGTCAATTATATTATTCTCTACAAATGAAACTCTTTAAAATGCTCAAACAATACAGTGCAATAATTCTAATAATTTATTTGTTTATTACCCAGTAATTGTTTTTACTTAAATGGGAAAAGTTTGAAGAGTTACCTCCCTTGATATCAAACAATTTTCAGATTTTATCCATCATGTGATTTAGTCTTAATGTGTACAATGTTCCAACATATTTTCAAAAACCTTCACTACATAAAAGGTTAAGATGATAATGCAAAATGTAAATCTTACTTCTTAAAATTATTTGTGTTGGAAGACTTACATTCATAGCCACTGTTGAGACTGTTACAGGTGGCGCCGTCTGGGCAGGTGGAATTGCGACAGAAGTCGAGCTCTCCGCAATCTTTTCCACGATATCCATAAGGACACTCACATCTGCAGGAGGAAATCATAAATATAAATATATCATGTGTTCAAAATGCTCTGACCACAAACATATTGGTGTGTGTTTCATAACAAGTTCATAGCAGATAAATAAATAAATAAATAAATAAATAAATAAATAAATATATAAATAAATATATATATATACACACACACACACACACACACACACACACACACACACACACACACACACACACACACACACACACACACACACACACACACACAAAGCAACTGGCCAGGTAGGGTAGCAATTATTAAAAAAATATATATGTTAAACTGATGAAACCATATATATTCACAAAGGCCGAAAGGACACAATTGGTTGGTTGGTGGGGGAAACTTGAAAGCTAAGAAAAGATTTGTTTGTTTGTTTGTTGCTTTATGCCACACTCAGCAATATTTCAGGTATATGACAGCAGTCTTTTAATAATCCAGTATGGTCAAAAATATCCTGTGAATGACATCACGAACATCGGTCTATGCAACTTAAATACAATGACAATCATTATCCAAGTCAGCGAGTCGGACTACCGATTCCTCTTACGACAGGCAGGGGTTGCTAACACCAATTATAACGCTGTGGTAGTTTGAGGTGAGGTGAAATGGGGCTTAACGTCCTGTCAAGATTATTGCACTTATATTTACTCTGTGTGTGTGTGTGTGTGTGTGTGTGTGTGTGTGTGTGTGTGTGTGTGTGTGTGTGTGTGTGTGTGTGTGTGTGTGCGTGCGTGCGTGTGTGCACGTGCTTGTACTAGTCCGGACTTATGCCAGTATATAGTGCTAGCCCACGTACTGAATACCCACTAGGACACAGCAGCCAACTCAGGGCCAGTCAGTCCTAGTTTTAGCCCCCTAATTCCAAGCACAGGCAGGGTAACAACAAGTACCATCTTTTAACGTCTTTTGGTATGACACAGCCAGGGATTGAACCCAGGCCTTCCATCTCTGGGCAGATGCTTTACCACTGGACCATGGAGGTGTGTAGTTATTTGAAATTTCTGTACTTTGTATCAATGATGGTTTACATAACTTGCCCTCATCCATATGCAAACATTTGAGAAGAAATCACTACTGAACAGTTTGAACCATGCTCCTTCCATTTCATTCCATTTATCCAAATCAAATTTGACAAGAAAAACGTAAATCACAAAATTATGAACAGATTCACAAGCAACAAACCTGAAATCATTATAGAACTCATTGGAGCAATTCCCGTTCTGCTTGCATGGCAATAAATCACAAGCTTTCTCTGTAGAGACCTTGCCCTCGGTGAGGTTTGAAGACGAGGACATCACTAGGCTAGCCTCTGTTGTCCCGTTTACCGGGAAGAACTCCAGCTTAACCCCATTAACTTCCACGTCCTGAATAACCCCTTGAAAGTAAGGACTCGAACCATCCACCGCTCGTCTCCGTCTTCCAACACCACCAGCAGTTGGTACCCTGCCACCGAAATAAGTAACATCCGGTTGAAATAGGCAGGTGGCTGTGGACTGTTCTGTATCTGTGAACGGTGTCAGATCTGGAAATCCCTGATTGACAGACAAGCTCAAGTCAGTGCTGGTCTTCTTAATCTCCACAAAATGTGCCTCTCCATCATTGTAAGGGGTGGTTGAGTTCAGGATGTGCTCAGCGTTGCAGAGCATGAAGGTTGCGGACAGCATCCCGCTTGTCATCTCCAGGGTGATGTAGGACGAGGGGTTGGTGTTGCCAAGGTACATGATGATGCCATCAGTCTGGCGGGTCCGCACAAACAGGGATAAGTTGATAGTGTTGTTCAGTCTGGGGCTGAGACTACTCAGACTAAAGCTGGCCCAACTCTGGACGTTGTCTTTAGAAAAGGTGACAGGCGTGTATTCTGAAACAGCAGTAACAATATCATAACATGCAATGGCCAAAAGTAAGCATGACCCATGTTTGTATGCTTGTTTATGTAGGGGGCCCTCTCCCAGGTTGATGGTTCACAACAACTGTTCATTTGGTCACATACTAGTTTGAACAAGCCAAAAAATACAAACACCACCCACCCGCACTATATTTTCAAAAGTCATTGCCTGAGAACCATTTCTTTTATTTTCTTAAGCCCAATATAAAGTATTTATTTGGACTCTACTTTTGATATTTCCCAATCAGCCTTTGTAGTATTTAGAAAAGTCACACCATTTCACATTATGATCGACCCGGTAATCCCTGGGGGTACTCCTGACCCGGACTAGGGATATCCAGACCTGGGGTCACATCGACCCGGTCATCCCTGGGGGTACTCCTGACCCAGACTAGGGATATCCAGACCTGGGGTCACATCGACCCAGTCATCCCTGGGGGTACTCCTGACCTGGACTAGGGATATCCAGACCTGGGGTCACAGCGACCCAGTCATCCCTGGGGGACCTGACCTGGACAAGGGATATCAGGACCTGGGGTCACAGCGACCCGGTCATCCCTGGGGGTACTCCTGACCTAGACTAGGGATATCCAGACCTGGGGTCACAGTGACCCAGTCATCCCTGGGGGACCTGACCTGGACAAGGGATATCAGGACCTGGGGTCACAGCGACCCAGTCATCCCTGGGGGACATGACCTGGAGTAGGGATATCAGGACCAGGGGTCACAGCGACCCAGTCATCCCTGGGGGACCTGACCTGGAGTAGGGATATCAGGACCTGGGGTCACAGCGACCCGGTCATCCCTGGGGGACCTGACCTGGAGTAGGGATATCCAGATCTGGGGTCACAGTGACCCGGTCATCCCTGGGGGACCTGACCTGGAGTAGGGATATCAGGACCTGGGGTCACAGCGACCCAGGCATCGCTGGGGGACCTGACCTGGAGTAGGGATATCCAGATCTGGGGTCACCGCAACCCGGTCATCCCTGGGGGACTTTACCCGGAATGGGGATATCAGAACCTGGGGTCACAGCGACACAGTAATCCCTGGGATCTACTGGTCCTGGGGTCACAGCAACCCGGACTATTCCGTGGTGTGAATGTGGCTGCTCCCTATGAGTTGGTGGGAAAAGCCCAGGATGAGCAACCGAGAGTCCCCAAGGAATAAAATATAATAGAGCAAAAACATGGTAGAAGAAATATATACAGTATAATACGTAACATGAAGATGAATAAATATTATGGTGAAAGGTGAGGGAAAAAGTAGGAATGAATGATTGATAATTGAAACATTTATAATAAACTATTGCTTTGTGCAGCATTAAACAACACCTACCTGTTTGACAAGTATTCCCTAAGTATGGTCGATGGCAGTCACATCTAAATGTGTTCCACAAATCTTCACAGTCTCCATTGCGATTGCATGTATACGGAAGGCACTGTTCGGAACGCTGACATCCATTCTGGACACCGTGAAATGAAGCTATAAAATCGTTGGATGGAATCACGTAATTCCCGTTATACTTGATATCTTCCATACAACCAGTGAACGCAGTTTTGGACAATGTTGAATTCATAACAGACTGGTCCACGTTGCCGATGAACAACTCGTTAACATCAGTTCCTAGTGGACGGGGGAATGAGAACGAGGCCGTGCACGCTTCAAGTGAGTTGCATAGGGAACTCTCCAGTTTCATTGTGATGTTCTGCTTCACTATCATAGTGACTGTGTGCATTACAGCATCATTGACAATCCTTCTTGTCAAAGCAGCATGACTGGACAGAGGTTTGACAGAACTTCCAAACACTGCCACCAGTTTCTCATCATGGATCTCCATGCTGATGTAGTCATCTCTGCCTGGCTTGTACACCATCAACACTGCCGATTTCAGGGTAGTTCGGAATCGCATATGCAGTGTAAAGTTCGTCACAAAGGCCTTGGTTATTTGGGCACCGTTGGCGAAGCTGATTGTTGTCGACACGTCACAGTGGCGCCCGGTGAAGCCAGTCGTACATCGGCAGTTATAGCCATGTTGGTTGGCCTCGTTCAGTGTTGGTACACATGTCGCTCCATTCTGACACATGGTATTAGCGTCGCATCCTGTCAAGACGATGGTGCAATTTTGACCGCCGTATGTCGTTTGTCCCTGTTGGAAGGCTGGACACTGACAATCGTAGGCATTGATCCGGTCTGTACAGGTTGCCCCGTTTTGACAGGCCCGGTACCGCGTGCACTCGTTGACCTCGGTGTTACATAACTGTCCTTCATAGCCAGGCGCACAGTTGCAGCGAAAGGCGTTGATCAGATCTTCACACGTTGCGCCATATTCACAGGGGTGGTTCACACAGTCATCGATGTTCACTTCACAATCTTGTCCTGTAAGGGATACACATTTCTGAATACATACAGATCACATAAGAAATATCAGTGTCTGGCTAGTATCAAAATCTATCCAAATGTTTACAGCAAAATTCACTGAAGTCTACAGGTATAGTTTTGTATAGTTTTCTGAAAACAGAGCTTAGGGCCTTTTTTTTGAGCCCTTAAAAAAATATTTCCCCAAGCTTGATTTCTCTTGTTTTGAATCCACAGCCAGGCCACACTGAAGATTGATTTTGTGCAACAACTGGGTTGTTATCACAAATGTCCTGGTTATTTTATCATGATGTCAATTTTTACTTGACTAAAGGAGGATGTATAACATATATATTTTAAGAATAGAAGCCACAAATGATTCGCTGAAGACTTAGTACTCATTCAGTCATGGGGTTGGTAATTTGTGACTTTTTCTCCAAATGTTCAAAGACAACTTTGACTTGATTTCATATGTTCTCCCTGTACTGAACAATGCATGTTAATACCTGTACCAATCTGTACTGAATGACGCAATAAATTATCTGTACTGAACAATGCATGTTAATACCTGTACCAATCTGTACTGAATGACGCATGTAATTATCTGTACTGAATAATGCATGTTATTAGGCTAAAAAACATAATAGTCTCGCTTCACAGGCACTGCCTGCATTATCATAAAGTCTGCTGCACGTTTCGTTTTTATTTCCATTTTCAATTTTTTGGCAATAGCGACAATAGGTGTTTGTATACTTATTTGGAGGCCCTTTCCGAGGTTCATGGTACACTGTTTTGAACAAGCCAAAAAAAACCACAAAAAACACTGCCTGCCCGCATTATGTTTTCAAAAGTCATTGCCTGAGAACTAATTCGTATATTTTTATAAGCGTTATCTGTACTGAATAATGCATGTAATTACCTGTACTGAACAATGCACGTTAATACCAATACCTCATTCAACGTAATTCGCTCTCAAAATTAGAAAAAGGGGGCTCAAAATTAGAATATTATTTTGGTGAAAAAAAAGAGTTGAAAGATACATTTCGTGGTTTATGCTGACAGCCTGAAATGTTTATGTACGACAGATATATTTTTCTCTCGAATTTAATTGCCCCTAATTAAGGGTGCATATAACACACGAGTGCGTATTGTACGCGAATTAATACATCTTGTGAACATTGATCAATCGGAAGGGGTGCTAATTGGGATTGTTCACTAGCCAATATATTAGCAAATACCACTGTGGGCGCCTATTAGAGCGGGCGCTTATTACGTCGAATACAGTATGTGTTTTCACCTGTTATTCCAGTGATGCATTCACAGATATAGCCAGCTGCCGTAGCATATGAAAAGTTGTCAAGTGCGGTGTGATGGCCATAAAGAGCTTGTTTGGACCGCTCGATACATGTCCCATTGTACTGGCACGGTATGGACAAGCACTCGTTGATGTCTTCCTCACAGTTGCTGCCTGTGTACCCAGCATAGCATGCACAGTCATAGCTCTGCAAACCAGGAAGAGAAACATGTAACTTGCTGTCAATGAATACATGATTGTATGAGGTGGAGCAGACTTTCAGGGGAGATAATCTGCTCTGCAAAGAGACCTCTTGCTAGAAATCCTGAGTGAGAAAGTGAGTATGGTTTTACAGCGCTTTTAGCAATATTCCAGCAATATCACAGCGGGGGACACTGGAAAATGGGCTTCATACATTGTACCCATGTGGGGAATCAGACCCGGGTCTTCGGTGTAACGAGCCAATGCTTTAACATACGCTACCCCACCGCCCCAGAAATCCTGAAATTAGAATTCTATTTTTACAGGAGGAAAAATAAGGACTATATTTTCAGGTCATTTTAAAACCAGTGGCTTAGGAAGGACTAATTTTTATTCTTTGGTCATGGCGGGAAAAATATAAAAATATGACATGAAACAAATGTTATATTTGGGATCACACTTTCTGAGTAAAGTATTGATTCTAGTACGTTTTGGGGCTGAGTCCCATCCAAGATTCGAACCCACACTGCAAGAGTGAGGCGCCTAATCGCCTGCACACAAAGTCAGCGATCTAACCCACTCAGCCACCAAGGCTTCCACAAAAATGAAAGTCTGGCAACTGGTAGTCTAGACCAGGTACTTTGTGTACCTCTCTGACAAGGGTAACCATAACATTTGTCACTTTTGACCACTTTCTAAATGGCACTGTGTATTCATAAAAGATATTTCCGATTATTTTTTGCATTCTTCAAACGTAATCTGAAGATGGTTCCCATGTGTGTAGAGTTAGAAATGCTTGTCTCATTGTCCCCTATTTCACCTGTCTTGTACTGACACAGGTTTTTGCACTAAATTAGTTTTCACTGCGCAAAATATAAAAACAACGCTTTTCACTAAACCGTAAACAAGTAGATAATAAAAAATAGTGCCTTACCTGAATCCCAGGTAATGATAAACAAAGTCCTTACCTTAACACCATCAACGCAGGTACCCCCGTTCTGACACGGAACACCAATGCAGTCATTGATGTTGCTCTCACAGTTAGTTCCGTTAAAGCCAGTGTTAGTGCAGTCGCACTCATACCTGCAGATTACAACACAGACATTTTAATAGTTACTATTAGTTATACATTGATAGGACATGTAACCATCATTATTACATGTAAATATTACAAAGAAAAATTTCAAAACAAAAAACACAGATTTCAAGTGCTTATACTAAAAGTACAGAACAAAAATTATACCAAACCAATATTTTCCGAATGAAGTTTGAAACTGTTTCCTCCACATGCACTTAAAAAAGTCTTTACAAACTAAAACCACTAGTGACACAAAAATTACGTTGTTTGAAGAATCAATTTAACTTTTTGTTACGAAATAAACAGTTATTATTCTCCAACAGTTTTGAAGTGCAAACAATGAAGATCTCAAACATGGTGTGGTGAAATTTGGTCACATCAAGGTGAAGGTCATTTAATTAAAACATCTTGCAATCATGCATGCTCAGGACGTTCTCATTTCATTTCCAGGATTCTACATTCAGTTTCAATGGCGGCACACTGAAACGATTTCTATATTTTCCGAACCACAACTAAGTGCTGTATCACTCTGTGTGTAAGTATTCTACAGCACATCCTGCAGTCGTGATCTATAGGGGTTCAACACAAGCAAAAAGACACAATGCAACTAAATACCAAAATCAAAATCACAAACGTGCACAAACACAAGACTCAACCAGAAACAGATTTAATGCATGCGTTGAAATGAAGACTCATGCATATACATGCATACACCTCTGTCCACCGTACCCGCGACTACGTGTTTTATTGCATTCCTGGCTGGAATTGTCCCCATCTGTTCTGTAGAGGATTCATAAAGCAATTGTCAGAACAATAGTCAACCTATACATGTGGTCAGCAGCACAATAGTCTGTACAATCATCATCAGCACAATAGTCAGTACAAGTCAGCATCACAATAGTCTGTACAAGTCAGCAGCACAATAGTCTGTCCACGTCAGCAGCATAATTGTCTGTATAAGTCAGCAGCACAATAGTCTGTACAAGTCGGCAACAGCACAGTAGTCTGTACAAGTCAGCACAATAGTCTGTACAAGTCAGCAGCACAATAGTCTGTACAAGTCAGCAGCACAATAGTCTGTACAAGTCAGCGGCACAATAGTCTGTACAAGTCAACAGCACAATAGTCTGTACAAGTCAGCAGCACAATAGTCTGTACAAGTCAGCAGCACAATAGTCTGTACAAGTCAGCAGAACAATAGTCTGTACAAGTCAGCAGCACAATAGTCTGTACAAGTCAGCAGCACAATAGTCTGTACAAGTCAGCAGCATAATTGTCTTTTCAAGTCGGCAACAGCACAATAGTCTGTACAATCATCATCAGCACAATAGCCTGTACAATCATCAACAGCACAATAGTCTGTACAAGTCAGCAACACAATAGTCTGTACAAGTCAGCGGCACAATAGTCTGTACAAGTCAGCAGCAGAACACTTGTCTGTACAAGTCTGCAGGAGAACAATTGTCTGTACAAGTCAGCAGCACAATAGTCTGTACAAGTCAGTGGCACAATAGTCTGTATAAGTCAGCAGCACAATAGTCTGTATAAGTCAGCAACAGCACAATAGTCTGTGCAAGTCAGCATCACAATAGTCAGTACAAGTCAGCAGCAGAACAATTGTCTGTACAAGTCAGCAGCACAATAGTCTGTACAAGTCGGCGGCACAATAGTCTGTACAAGTCAGCGGCACAATAGTCTGTACAAGTCAGCAGCAGAACAATTGTCTGTACAAGTCATTAGCACAATAGACTGTACAAGTCAGCAACAATACAATAGTCTGTACAAGTCAGCAGCACAATAGTCTGTACAAGTCAGCGGCACAATAGTCTGTACAAGTCAACAGCACAATAGTCTGTACAAGTCAGCAGCACAATAGTCTGTACAAGTCAACCTTCACAATAGTCTGTACAAGTCAGCGGCACAATAGTCTGTACAAGTCAGCAGCACAATAGTCTGTACAAGTCAGCAACAATACAATAGTCTGTACAAGTCAACCTTCACAATAGTCTGTACAAGTCAGCGGCACAATAGTCTGTACAAGTCAGCAACAATACAATAGTCTGTACAAGTCAACCTTCACAATAGTCTGTACAAGTCAGCAACAATACAATAGTCTGTACAAGTCAACCTTCACAATAGTCTGTACAAGTCAGCAACAGCATAATTGTCTGTACAAGTCAGCAGCAAAATAATCTGTACAAGTCAGCAGCACAATAGTCTGTACGAGTCAGAAACATAATAGTCTGTACAAGTCAGCAACACAACAACAGTCTGTACAAGTCAGCAGCAGCACAATAGTGGAACAGTCATTAGTAGATCCAGACCCAGTCGACGATGCATGCCTACACTACAGGGGGCCTTGACATGATTAGTAAACTCATTGCAAAACTTTAGTGACACCTCATTTGCCCAGACATGTTAAAAATGTCAAAATTAATAGAGTCTGTGAAGTTTCTCATAATATATATATTTCCATTTGTAAATGTAGCCATCTTTGTGCCTGAATATGACCTTGTGAAACTGAATATAAAAAATGACTATTAAATTTCAAAATGTACTGTCTGAAAGTGAGGTGTCGCTGTGCAGCACCCGCGACATACAGGCTCACACACCCAGGAGATCTAATGTAAAAAGTGAACCTCTTGACTGGGCTTGTGTCAAATCTAGGTGGAAGTATACAATGTTGAAAGCTTATTAGGACATAATATAGCTATAAGAGCGGCAATACTTCATATTAAATCTGGAAATCCAAACTGAAAATGCAACTGTCATACGCTTGACAATCTTTCATCCAACATCCAACATACTTTGACCCCTATAACTCTCCCTTTGTTTACATGAACATGTATTTGATGGAAGGACACTATGAGTCAAACATGGCCCTTAGACAAGGCAATGTCAGGGTAAAAATGATCGTAGTACTGATATGTTGAATAATGATACTAGAAAACATCAGCAAGCCAAACTTTCAAAACCAATAATTCTAGCCATTGTTTCGAAGGCGCTAGGAACAGTGTTTCTTGAGTTTTCAGTTACATAGAACATTGTCCGGTCACTATTGTCCACTTCTTGTCCAGTTGGACACAGATAGGTGACCCACCTAGAGTGAGTGAGCTGGGTTTAACGCCGCTTTTAACAGTATTCTAGTTAATTCACGGCGTGTCAGCTTAATGTGGGAGGAAAGCCCGAAGTGATGCAGGTCTCAGACATTTAACACTTCGGTGAAACCAACGAGCATGGGTAGGTGCTGACAAACCTAGAAACATAATCGGGGCGAAGCGGGATTCGAACCCACAATCATAGGTTTCTGGCATGCCCAAGGGACACAACTCTGCACAGGGAATCACGGTGCCTTAGACGACTGGGCCACCCGTGCCCCCTGGGCAGAATCAATGAGCATGACGTGAGCCATTGCTCGTAATGTCGATCACTGGTTTGTCGGACCCAGACTGTAATATTTACGGACTGCCGTCATAAAGCTGGAAAATCGAGTTCTGTGTGATACAAACACACATCCAAAATAATATACTAGCGTAAACAGTCCACTCGTCAGACACAGTATCTAAATTCACAAAACTGACATAATGGCTATTTACTTCCGGAACTTAGAACCACACTGTCACTCAATACGTCACTCTTGTGAAAACTTGAATACAACAAGCAGTGTGCCAAGAATGAACTAATATAAACAAAAACTACATAAATAACCAAATAATTACCAAGGGATAGACCAAATAAAAATGATGCACATATAAGCAATTGATATCAGCTATACCACTACAGTTCAGGAAAAATGATCTTAAAATTGTCAAATATTTTGGTATGTGTATAACATTGTCCTACCCATTGATTTGATCGTTGCAGGTTCCGTAGTTCAAACAGGGGTTCCGGGGCCAACATTCGTTGATGTTTATTTCACAGTTGTCTCCTGTGATGCCGGGAATGCAGGTGCAGTTGTAGCTGTTGATGCCGTCTTCACAGGTGCCGTTGTAGAGACAGGGGTTGGGGTCGCACTCATCAATATTTGACTGACAACGATCACCTGAATATCCAGGGGCACATAAACATTCAAAGTTCCTCTGCAAGTTGATGCACGTCCCCCCATTCTTACATGGGGCTCCCCCTGCTTCCAACTGGCAGTAGCTGGAGGTCCTCTCACAGTTGGTGCCTGAAATTCAAAAATATATTTGAAGATTCAGCATTACAAAAGTTGTCTCCCTTGAACAGTTGCCCATGTTTTGAATCTTTTTGTTTGTTGTTTAACACCACACTCGGCAATATTCCAGCTATATGACAGCGGTCTGTAAATATTCAAGTCTGGACCAGACAATCCAGTGATTGACATCATGAACATCGATCCACGCAAGTGGGATATGATTAAATGCATCAACCAAGTCAGTGAGCTTGACCGACCGATCCCATCAGTCGCCTCTTACGACAAGCATAGCCTTTTATGGTAAGCATGGGTTGCTGAAGACCTATTCTACCCCGGATCTTCACGGGTCGTTTTGTAGTAGTCGTAAAGATTAACACAAAATATCTCCTTTGCTTATCATGTTCTATTCTCAGTTACCTGTCCATCCATTCTTAGTTTAGGGGTTGTTTTGAAATACCTGCCTGCCCGCTACTCAAATGCTAGTGACTTTAAATTGGGCTAGTAACATACATGAATTTTATCATAAAAAAAGGGAATAAAAAATAACATCTCGTAATTATAACAGACTAACAGGGCTGACGACAAACGCAACAGAGTGAGTGAGTGAGTACGGTTTAACGCCGCCTTAGCAATATTCCGGCAATATCATGGCGGGGGACACCAGAAATGGGCTCCACATTGTACCCATGTCGGGAATCAAACCCAGGTCTTCAACATGACGAGCGAACGCTTAAACCACTAGGCTTCCCGACCGTGAAGGAAACAGAGGCACTTGGATTATCAACACACCCTGACAACAATATCGGGCTTCTGTCATCATCTTCCACTATATTTGTTGCAGGAGCAGGTACCCATGAGAATTACTGCTACAAGAGTTATCTCCCCTACTCTAACTTCAAACTTGACAACAACATACAAAGCGTCAACGCTAGGGAACAACCAGTCTCAATCATCTGACGAAACAGACCCCATTGGCACAAAAGGCAAAACAGTGGAGAAAGCCACACAAAGGGATCACCAAAAAACAATAACGACACACGGTGCTCATGAAGAGAGTTGTCCCGCCCAACTGGCAGCACCCACACAACCCTCACTAATCTCTATGTACATAAGGCACAGCAGCTCCCGCCATGCAACAATACATGTAAATCAAGACATCTACTATTGAAAAAATATCTTGAACTGATCACAGGCAAAACAGATTTTACGAAGCTGTGACCTTGATCTTTGAGCGGATATGACTTTCTGTCCTTGACCGTAGCACGAAATTCAAAATAACATGGGAGGAAGAACTGAGAGTTTGTTTGTTTGTTGTTTAATGCCGCACTCAGCAACATTTCAGCTATATGACGCAGTCTGTAAAAAATTTTAGTCTGGACAAGACAATCAAGTGATTGACATCATGAGCATCGATACATGCAATTGGGATACGATGACATGCATCAACCAAGTCAGCAAGCCTGACCACTTGATACCATTAGTCACCTCTTACGACAACCATTATGTTCCTGAAGACATATTCCACCCCCGGACCTTCACAGGGTGGAACTGAGAGTAGTGGTTTGCATAGTTTGGTTTTGGATGCATGGGTAGACACTGGTCACATGACCACAACGCGAAACCACAAAACCATATTTCTGATCATGACCATTTTTCCAGTCAATCGCACAAAAAAATGGCCCCCGGTATATAGTGGACTCACCAATGCCGTAGTTGTCACCCCCTGCTCCCCCACAGTAACATTCGTAGCTGCCGGGGGAGTTCTGACAGAGGCCTCGGTTCAGGCATGCGACAACTGACTGATTACACTCGTTGATGTCCTCATCACAGTTCACTCCCTGCCACCCTGTATAAAACTCATGCACCTGGCCAGGGGTGTAGTTGGTAAGGTTAACGAGCTGACGCTGACAGGTGCATGTGTACTCCCCCACATGGTCATGGCATGTGCCGTGAACGCAGGGGTTGGGGTCGCAATCGTTGATTTCAGTCGAGCAATCAGATCCAGTGTAACCTGCATGGAAAAAAACAAAAAAACAATTAAATCTCATTTTTTGGTCAGTGAGCGAGGATGGTTTTACGCCCCGTTTAGCAATATTCCAACAATGTCATGGCGAGGGACACCAGAAATTGCTTCCACACTGTACTCATGAATCAAACCCGGGGCTTTGGTGTGACAAGGGAACGCTTTAACTACTAGGCTGCCCCTCCTTAGTCAGTGATAGAAGTTATGAACGATATTAAAATCCTCATGTATAATGACTGTGAACAGTTTTCCAAACCAAAATGTCAGGTTACATGATACCCATTTCCTACTAAACCCCATGACCAAATCATTCCTTCACTTGCACTATCCAAACCAAACTGATTTAAGTTCATTCTTATGAGTGATTGAGTGAGTTGGGTATAACGCCGCTTTTAACAGTATTCCAGTTATATCGCGGCGTGTCAGCTTATTGTGGGAGGAAAGCCTGAAGTGATGCAGGTCTTAGAAGTTTACCACTTCCGTGAAACCCACGAGCACAGGTATGGTGCTGACAAACCTAGAAACATAATCGGGGCGAACCAGGATTCAAACCCACAATCATAGGTTTCTGGCGTGTCCAAGGGACGCAACTCTGCACAGCGAATCGAAGGGCCTTAGACGACTGGGCCACCCGCGCCCCCTCATTCAGATACCAACATACCAAAGACTATGACAGGCTGCAGTCTAGTCTGTCTACGTGGCCCTAGAGAACAAATTGAGGAATCAATCCAACTCATATGGCGGGAATATTGCATCTTCCCCAGGCTAGGGAGATAACTGACAGTAAAAGACCAGTTTTCACCCTTGCCGAACTAGGCTGTGATTCGTAGCGCAACCAGTGGCTATTACCATTTACGTCCCTTCTATGTCCCTAGCCTCCTTCTGACCAATCAGATTCAATCTCTCATTTCACTTGCATTTGCTTGAAACACAATGGCAGCACCAAGTTGAAATGATCTGATCGGTAATCAAAATCTTTAAAACAGATCTTACTTCGAGAAGTATATCAAATCACATGGCCACCTTGATTAAAAACATGAAAATATTTTGAAAATATTTGTTAACACCCAGTTGGCAGTAAAATTGCTTTGCAAATCATTCAATTGACCGAAATCTGCACGGGAGTTTACAAACTGGATGTTGAATTCATTACACGATTTTGATTGATTTTGGACTATGCATAGACTTGTTGTCCAGCCAAAATAAAACTCCATAATTCCAGCCTAGCTTGGCAAGGGTAGAAACCGGACTCTCATAGTCAGTTAACTAGAAGATGGGAATATTAGATAAGAGCAGCATTAAACAGTAAACAAAATCTTTGTGAAAGCTGAGCCTGGTTTGTTTATAATCTCATTAAAATCAGACCTCAGTTCTCGCTACCGCTAAACAAAGATCTGAGGACATCCCATTAGGGGTCACATCAGAACGACCTTTCATCCGACCAATCAGAGCATCGCTTACCAGATTATGAAAGTGACAGTCGGAATGTGATTTCTAATCATGCAACCTCGAAAACTTTAACTCCAAACGATAGTTACGGGTTTAACGACTGAATCCATACAATCTAGACCATCTATTAGCCATTCCAGAATGTTCTTTTGTTCAGATTTCAAATTTGTAATCAATATGTTTCGAAGCGTAGTGGCCAATTGAAATTAGTGCCATAAAGCACGAGAAAGCTGCCTTCTGATTGGTCATTCCATTGGTCGGTCAAAGTTCGCGCAAGGTCGGTCTGACGTGACCCGTAATGGGATGTCCTCAGATCTTTGTTTAGCGGTAGCGAGAACTAAGATCTGATTTTAATGAGATCGGGTTTGTTTACTGTCCCTGTAATGAGACAACACCTACCCACTGGGCAGCCACAGGTGAAGTTGCCGACTGCATCGTAACACTGTTCGAAGGGCTTGCACGAATCACTGCGACAGTCATTCACGTTGATCTCGCAGTTGCGCCCATTGAAGCCTGCCACACACGTACAGTTGTAGTCCTGGTTTGGCTGTTGCGTGTTGCACGTTCCTCCGTTCTGACAGGGAGACAGAGCCGTGCAGGCGTTGTAGGTGTCATTACACCGTCTGCCCATCCACTCAGAGCTGCAGTTGCAGGTGAAGCTGCTGATGCCGTCTTGACAACGACCTCCGTGCAGACATGGATTCGGGGTGCATTCATCAATGTTCTCTGAGCAGTCAAAGCCTGGAAACAAAGGTCAGCAGTTCAGCATTGTGTGACTTGGAAACAGTTGGGGGTGTGAGGGCACATTCAACATACTGACAGCAGGGTCGTGATGAAAAATCATGGCAGCTTTCTGGTTGGCGAAACTGTTGGTAAAACTGAAATTGTTGTTCATAAACACAGTTGTCAGATTCGTAAAGTCTTGTCAGGCCTTGAAACACAGTTGTCAGACTTTTAAACAGTGTTGTCAGACTTTTTAACAGTGTTGTCAGACTTTTTGTCAGACTTTTTAACAGTGTCGTCAGATTCATAAACACTGTGGTAAGGTTCTAAAACACTGTTGTCAAATTTATAAATACTGTTGTCAGATTCATAAACACTGTTGTCAGGCTTTTAAACACGATTCATAAAAAGATAATTCATACTTCAAACTTTACATTCAAACAAACAAATATTAACAGATGCCATTATTCTGAATCATATTTCTTTCTCGATAAGGAGTGTTCTATCTCTGTACTTAATGAATAAAATAATTTGTTCCAGAAATACTTCCAATATAATTTTGCAACAGGATATAAGAGATATATTTCCTGGATATGATGAATGAAAAGAGGTGAAATGGGGTTGTGTGTGTGTGTGTGTGTGTGTGTGTGTGTGTGTGTGTGTGTGTGTGTGTGTGTGTGTTGTGTGTTGTGTGTTGTGTTGTGTGTGTGTGTTGTGTGTTGTGTGTGTGTGTTGTGTCTTTTCTTTTGGTATAGGTGGCCAGGAATTGAATTCCGAACCTTCCACTCTCTGGGGGGATGCTCTACCACTAGACCACGGATGTGGTCTGAATGAAAATGAAGTCATTCAGAGAAATATATTTTGTTGTGAAGCAATGAACCAAGACTGTTATAGAGTCCCTGTCGGAAGTAGGCGTGCACCTATGTCAGACATAGCCTACCTGTGAAGCCAAGCGCACAGCTGCAGTTGTAGTAGTTGGTGTGGTTGTGGCAGGTGGCGCCATTCAAGCAGGGGTTGCTGTCACACTCATTGAAGTCCGTCTCACAGTGTATGCCAGTCCAGCCCGGAGCACACGCACACACATACTCGTTGATCTGGACAAAAAAAACACCATGTAGGGACTCCTTGCTTCTATGAATTTACAGTACCTCTTAAACAGGTCGACTAATCATTTAGAAGCAGTCTATGAATCTCGAAATCTCCTTGGCTATGCACAGCTACGTCTAGGAATGACATTCACCTCTTCAAAGAACCATGCTATTGCTCTGAATCTGGTGCATTTGTGAATATTTCATGACAGAGTATATTAAAAGAGTAAATCTGTGGTTTGATCATTGTCAGCAGATCCTGGCACAACTAAGGAACACAACTCTGCATAACAGTATTATTAGAGTTTGAGCCAGTCTGCAGGTGAGGCAATGAAGTCAACATACCCCATCTAAACATGTTGCTCCGTTTTTGCACAGCATTGGCATCTCCTGACATTCCTGTATGTTCTCACTGCAGTTGTCTCCCTTGTAGCCATCCACACATTCACATCTGTAGGAGTTGACCTCGTCCTTACACCTGAAACAAAAAAACAAAATGTGCAACTCCTCAAGACGAAATACACAAACTATATTGTAATGGTTGGTATATCTCCATAGTACTACCCCTAGTGTGAATATACCCTCAGTGTGATGATGCGTAAACTCGCTAATGCACCTGCCATAAATACGACCTGTCAAGCTACTTGCCACTAATACTACAGGATCTGTCATGCATCCGCCACTAATACTACATTGACTCTCACGCCACCTGCCACTAATACTACAGGTTCCTTTCATCCACCAGCCACTAATACCACAGTTTCATTGAGCAACCAGCCACTAATACTACAGTTTCGTCAAGCAATCAGCCACTAATTCTACAGTTTCGTTGAGCAACCAGCCACTAATACTACAGTTTCATCGAGCAACCTGCTACAAATACTAAGCCCTAATGTTCTTTAAAGCCAATGCATATCATAACGCCAAGTTTACAAGAAAAAAGCATCTACACTTACGTTCCACCATTTTGACATGGGTTGTCCTGACACTCATTGATGTTGGTCTGGCACTGATCTCCGGTATATCCTGGTGAACAGTGGCACCTGAAGGCGTTCTCCAGGTTGTCACAGGTTGCATTGCCATAGCACGGGTTAGAAGCACACTCGTCAATGTCCCGGCACACAGGGGCGAATCCTGAATGAACAGAGTAACAGTGAGGTGAGGTGAAATTGGGTTTAACGTCACGTCCAAGATTATTGCACTTACATAGCGATATGCATGCACGTGTGTGTGTGTGTGTGTGTGTGTGTGTGTGTGTGTCTGCTTGTTCTAGTCCGGCCTGATGCCCATTTATAGTGCTAGCCCACTGAGATACCAAGCCGCAGTTTAACATGAATACCCCACTCAGACACAGTATACTGACTCCGAGCCAACCAGTCCTTGCTTTAACCCCTTAATGCCGAGCGCCAGACAGGGTTACAACAAGTACCATCTCTTAACGTCTTTTGGTATGACGCAGCCGGGGATTGAACCCCGGACCTTCCGCTCTGTAGGCGGACACTCTACCACTAGGCCACGGAGGCGGTCTCAGAGTAACAGTGATATTGGGTGAATGTTGTGTATTTAGGGCTGGGACGGGTAGCTCGGGTACTCGGGTACTCAGGTCTGGTGGGGCCTTAGTAGGACCTAGGTACCCACAGTCCTACCCTGACTCGTGGTTTGTCACATGATATATTGCTTAATGACAAAAACTCACTATAGCTCAGTGGTTACACTACAAGTCCCTAATGTTCGCATTTCATTCTGATGATGCACACATTCCTTTTGACTTGTATATGTTTGAGTAAAGATAAAGCTTCAGTCAATTTCAGTGTACCATGATCTGACTGTTTGATACATGTATCTAAATAGTTTTAGCCATGTCTGCGGTAAAACAATTACCAATCAGACATTTTGTTCCCAACTCTTGAGACCTCCAGTGGGTACCCAGGTAGGGTCGGGTAATAGGGGGTCAGGTACCCGGGTAGTAAATTTGGACTCGTCCCAGCCCTATTGTGTATGACAGTTAGAGCATACATTGACAAGACATTGCACCAAACAACTGAAAGTCCCACAGGAGTGTTCTTTAATATATTTCTATATTTCAACTAAATCAAGGGAATATAATGGAGTACTGGGACCCGTTCCACAAAGCGATCTTCGCGCTACGGCTGTAAGTCAGTGTTAAAGAATGGGAGTTACGACCGACTTAGCGCTAAGATCGCTTTGTGGAACGGGGCCCAGAGCACCAATTCTGCTCCAGAATCCAACAAGTCGAGCATGGGCCACATAGCATGTAGCATTTCAGACCCGAAACACCAAGTAGACATGCAAAATGGCAATGAAGCAGCCCCTGTTACCTGAGTATCCATCGTTGCAAACACAAGTGTAGCCATTGATGCCATCGAGGCAGCGTGTGTTGGCACCGCGGCATGTCACGTTGACGCAGTCGTCAATGTCCCCCTCACAGTCATGGCCAGTAAAGCCCCTGGGACATGTACAGAGGTACGTGTTCATGCCATTCGTACAGTTCCCTCCATTCTGGCATGGAATCGAATCACACTCGTTGACATCCTAAGAACATAGCGATATATTACATTTTCAATCTTGCTGGACTGCTGTCCAAATGCTGAACAATATTAGTAAAATTGAAATATATTTACATTTGTATACTTATCCTGCATTACTCCTTTATGCATTCACTGCTTACCTTACAACAACAAAAAGACAGTACGGCGATGGTCTTGGGTGAAGAAGTAAAGTTGTTTCACATTCCACACCTGCTTTTGGTACGAACCGAAGCTGAAGGTCTAAAATTATCCAATTTGAAGAGCTCCGCTGAGACAAGTCCTTGCTGTACCACGACAGGCAGTGATGTGGGTAAGGTGACTTGTCATCAAGGTCACATGACGGTGGCGGTGGTCCGTACAAATAGCAGGAGTAGAATGTGAAACAACTTTATTTCTTCACCCAAGACCATCGCTGTACTGTCTTTTTGTTGTTGTAAGCAGTGAATGCATTAAGGAGTAATGCAGGCTAAGTATAAAATATGGCCTTTCATATAGATTTGAAGGTCATTTGAAGATCATTCTTTTAATTATGTAAACAACTGCTGTAAGAAAATACCACACTTTGGCATTTTTATCATGTGTCTTACAGAACGAAAATATAGCAACTATACCACATAGTTACCTGTCAAACAGTCTACCCGTACATTGTGCATCTGAACTGATGTGTCAAGTGGCAGTTTAACTTGGAACTGAAAACATATCTCATACATCTGGGGACACAGGTGGCCCAGTCGTCTAATGTGCCACAATTAGCTGTGCACAGTTGCATCCCTTGGGCACGCCAGAAACCTATGAGTGTGGGTTCGATTCCTGGTTTGCCTAGATAATGTTTCTAGGTTTGTCAGCACCATACCCGTGCCCGTGAGTTTCACCGAAGTGGTCAACGTCTGAGACCGGCTTCATTTCGGGCTTTCCTCCAAAACTAAGCTGACATGCCGTGATATAACTGGAATACTGTTAAAAGCAGCGGTAAACCCAACTCACTCACTACTTTCATGTTTGGCTGAAGCATTATTTCTATCGTCAGTGTCCAGCACCTACCAGTACACATCCAATACCGTCGTAGCCTGGTGGGCAGACGCAGGTGAAGCTGCCAGGGTTGTTCACGCAGGTGCCACTCCCGCAGACACCAGGAGTCAAATCACATTCACTTACATCGTCGATGCATGTGTCCCCATCATAACCTGAAACAGTTCATTAGATTAAGCTGTGTCAACTTGGCAGCAAAAATAATAAAATCTTTCGAAGAGGACATAACATTAAACAGAACACAATAAATGATTCATCTGAAGGTCATCCCTACCGGCCTCACTACCGAAACCCAGCCCCTCATTATCCGACAAAATCGGTGATGTGGTGAAAGATGAGTTGACTTACCTGAACCTGTGCAGTTACACCTGAAGCCATTGACCAGGTCAATACACTGGCCGTTCTTACATGGGTCGCGACGACATTCGTCAATCTCCGTTTCACAATTTGTACCTGTATAACCTGCAATAGAAAAACGTGAGAATGACTACACTGACATCCCCTGATCATAACCAGGATTTTTTATTGATAACGATTAATGAATCTTCGTGCTGATTCCTCTAACAAATGCGGGGCACGGGTGGCCCAGTCCTCTAAGGCACGACATTTCATTCTGCATAGTTCAGTTGCTTGGGCACACCCGAACCTATGATTGTGGGTTCGAATCTTGGTTCGCCCCAATTATGTCTCTAAGTTTGTCAGCATCATACCCGTGGTTGTGGGTTTCACCAAACTGGTACATACATCTAAGACCTGCATCACTTCTGGCTTTCCAGCCATATCAAGCTGACATGCCATGATATAACTAGAATACTGTTCAAAGCAGTCATCGACCAACTCTCTCATTCACTTTGCATCAAATCCAAGGTCAAGGTGACCTTGACCTTTGACCTACCTGGTGTGCACATACACCTGTAGGTTGTCCCCTCGTCAGGATTCGCAACACAGGTAGCATTGTTCAAGCACAGATTCACAACATGGCATCCAAGATGAGCTGAAACATTGTTCAATAAAATAAGCATCTGATGACAATAGTTACCTAGCAACAAGACATTAAGAGTTGTGCAAAAGTCTTATTGATCCCAACAGCACAACAATCAATGCACTAATTAGACTCAGTCACTATATGGCTGAAACAAAGGAGATGGATGCAACATTAAATTTTAACACTATCCCTCACAACTCCAACCAATAATTAGCTAATAATATTTCCCAATTTTGAACCCCGAATAACACTAATACTGAACAGAGGAAACATATACAATTTCTCATATTTCAAAGGTATTCATGTCATCTGATGATATTTGAACCAAAAACTAAATCCATCAAACTCACAACAGATCGAAGTTTCAAAATTTAGTTCAATCATCATTAATTGACATAAACGGATTAAACAGCTTTCAATTATCTCTCTATGGCGTACTGTTTACACTGCCTCACAAAACAAACATTCATCCCACATCCCCTCCAACAAGGCCACAGACAACACAACAAACCCATGTGTTATAAGACCTCATATTCCTATTTAATCGAGGATATTCTAAATATTACACCGTGTGTTGGAATAGTAAATGGCAAACATCGAAGCCTTCTGGAGGGCCGTGCATACCACAAATGTTTCCTTTTTACCATTAAGCCAATTGTGTGGGGTGTGTTTGTTTGCGTTACTATTTAAATAAAACGTTGTTTAACTCGCCAACCTCGATATCACTACATACAAGGCTGCTAAACAGGCCAGCCCTAAACTTGCAGCTTCCGTAAGAAAAACAGAAATTTCAATACACACAACCTTCTTTAAATACCCACTAAGCAAGTTTGATTCCAGTCACTTAAAACTTGAACTGTTTGTCTTGAACAAAGCTTATAATGTGTTGGCATGGCAACCCTAATTACACACAAAGTAGTGGTGTCACCGTAGGCGATACTGTATTGTATCCCAAATGAGGCCCACGATACAATACATCAGGATTGTATCACACCCATGGTATCCGGATACATATCATATCGTGGACCCACTTTTATGTTACAACTCTAACCGAGACAATGTCTCATTTCCCACAGAATACATCGCGACCTGGAAGCTGACACCATAATTCCTAAGAAAATAAACAAGGACACAGACATTTTTATTCTCTGCCATCCTTGCATGCTTACAAATGCAAATACATAATATTTGATTTCTGTGAAAATGATAGGCATAAGTCCTAACTAGCCCCAAACCGCATGAAGTTCCCAGTTTGAAGAGATCCTCAGCTACCCCTGCTTGTGATATGTTTGTTTGTTGTTTAACGCCGCACTCAGCAATATTCCAAATATACAACGGCGGTCTGTATATAATAGAGTCTGGACCAGACAATCCAGTGTTTATATCATGAGCATGGATCCAAACAATTGGGATACGATGACACGCATCAACCAATTTTTTTTTAAGTCAGTGAGCCTGGCAAAAATATTCGCCTTGTACGGTAAGCATAGGTTGCTGAAGACCTATTCTAACCCGGATCTTCACAGGTATCCCTGCTAGCAACAGAAGACTGACAGGATCCGGTGATCAGGCCTTCTGACTTAGTTGATGAATGTCATAAAATCCTAAGATGGATGCTCATGATATCAATCACTGGACTGTCTGGTCCAGACATGACTATTTAAAGACTGCCGAGTCTCTGAGTGTGGTGTAAACAACAAAGTACAAACCAGCCTATACATTTGAAAAGTTTCAAGGAGAAATAACGAAGACTTGGCACCAGCAAAAAGGACGTAAGCGCCCCGCTCTAATAAGCGCCCACGGCGATATTTGCTAATAAATTGACCAGTGAACAATCCCAATAAGCACCCCTTCGGATTGATCAATGTACACAAGACTTATTTATTCGCGTATAATACGCACTCGTGTGTGATATGCACCCTTAAGTATGGGCAATTAAATTCTGGAAAAATATATATGCCGTATATTAACATTTCAGGCTGTCAGCATAAACCACGAAATTTATCTTTCAACTCTGTTGTTTTTTCACCAGAATAATATTCTAATAAGAGCCCCCTTTTTCTAGTTTTGAGAGCGCCCTTGGCGCTTATAATGTCGAATACGGTATCCACATTTGATAGGAACCAACCTTTGAAAAACAAAGATATAAATTCTATACATTCCAGAAGATCAAAGGCACCTGTTCAGCACTTGCCTGATATATCTACTACTTCGTGATGATATATGAAACGTTTTATAACGTATATCATGTATATCCTCTGGAAACAAACCCAACCAAACCGGGGCCACAACTCTGTAAAATATTAATTCTCCATGGCGGTTTTCAAACATGATAACATATTGATGACTTATTGATGTATTCTAAATGTCATCTCTAGCGGTTCCCAGAATCGGTGTACCATGTCAATAAAATATAACTGTGAAATATACATTTTTGATGATGATTTTCTAACAGGATCACCATATTTATCCCTTAATGATGTAGGCAAAATGTCATCCATGTATCCACATCAGTTTCAGGAAACTCTTGTCCCCATTCTAGTTGGACAAAGGAGCCAAACCTTTATTTTCGGCTTTTTTCTTTGAAAAAGGTCAGCTTGCAGTATGTCAATAACTGCTGGTTTTCAAATGAAGATGATGGCTGGTTTATTTAAGCACAACAAATTTACGACAGTGGCAGGAAGCATGGGCAGACAATACCAGGATGGGGATAAGGAGGATGGTGCAACTCGAGATTAATGAGAAGAAAGATAAATGGTTAGGATTCCAGATTTGGGTCATTTTTTAGGAGGGCTAAACATTTTGCTGACAAAATTGTCACAGCTACTGATTTGGGACACCATTGTCTTAATGAACATTTATTATCAAAGGCCATGACATGTAGCCATGACATGTATATGTCTTGAATGACTTAGTTGCCTTTACTTTAAGAAGCTAATCCCCATTGTTAATCCCCATTGTTAATCCCCATTGTCTGCCATCCTGAATGAGCTGAGAAACTATGTCACTGATAATCAACTGTAGATTAATCCCCTTCAGGTGACCTTGGAAATAAGCTTTGGTCCAGAGATGAAAATCGAGGTCTTGCCCTCAGCCAGCCAGGTTAGGTTAGGCTGGGTGCTCCGGGGCACCAAGACCACCACTATCACTATGTGCTGACCTGGCCCAGTGCTTCTTGTATATATACATCTACCTGTACAAAGTAAACTTGTATGTACCGCAAGCCTTCGACGCCAATGTTCTCACGTTCTTCCAAGAACTGTACACGAATCTTTGCATTTAGGAATACGCAATTATTATCATGTGTCTCCAACGCACATGCAGCTAATGCGCTGTTAAAATATACAGTATTGTCATATAATATTATATCATTAACACACTCCCTGAGGAAAGTTCACTATTAGAAACTTTAACCAACCTACATACCCAAACAAAAAGCACAATAGTAAAACCGCAGGACTAGTACAAGTAGAATTACTATAGGTTTTCCATACAGATAAGTACAAGGACGATACATACACTAGTTAGTTTATATAAGGTATATTCACGCTATACATTATCTACTTAGCGTATTTGCACATAAAGCCCTACAGGGAATTGACGATCAGTCACACAAACACGATAATGACGGAAATATGTAGACCATAAATAGTTTGCATTCCAATGAGCATGATGAGAGTGAATCAAACTACAGGCTCAATGGTTATCGACGTATTTAATCGTGAGTTGTGGAGCACAATGAAAGACCATGTGAAAGCTCTTTTCTTGTCGATGGTATAGAATAGAAGCTTGGGGCATAAACGTTTGAGCATTGATTATAAACTGGCCTACCAACATCGAACACTGAACATTTACCTGTACACATTAATTCATTAGGTTGAGTTTTATTGATTTCTACCTTCCCTCAACAGGAAAATACCTTACATTAATGATATTGTCATAAATTACACTGGAATGTGGAGACATGTTTAGTGTGTGGGGATATAGAAATGATTACTACATGAAATGTCAGAATCACGTCTAAACAATAGAATCAGTAAATATTTACATTTTTCTAATAGTTGACATTTTGATATACGTTTCTGATATGTAATTGTTATAACAGGTGTTGTTGGGACACTAGTTTTCTACACATTCTAACAGTGAGTGAGTTTGGTTTTACGCCGCTTTTAGCAATATTCCAGCAATATCACGGCGGGGGACACCAGAAATGGGCTTCACACATTGTGCCCATGTCGAAGATCGAACCCGGGTTTTCGGCGTGACGACCGAACACTTTAACCACTAGGCTACCCGACCGCCCCTTCACCATCTAACAAGGACATAATGTAAAACTACAGTATAAAAACAGATTTAATAAAGTTATAGAGCCATAAACTAATCTAGGCTTGACACTTTGGACACATACAATCATAGTTTCTCCGACAGCCTTGTGCTTAAGGTGTTCACTTGTCATGCTGAACACCCGGGTTCAATTCCCTACACGTTCCCTACATAGGCACAATGTGTGAAGTCCATTTCTGTGTCCTCCGCTGTGATATTATTAGAATATTGCTAAAAGCGGCATAAAACCATACTCACTCCTATTGACCCTGAAACACAGCCTAAACATCCCAAATAAGTCTTCAATTCTTTGTCAAAACTAGATTTCTTCACTTTGAAAATGAGGAGATTCTTTAGACTCCTAATTTCTATTTTAGACAATTTAACAAAAACATAATAACATAGACTTTCTAGAGACTGAAATAAATTCTTATCCGGACTTAGAGACTGAATGTTAGTCTAGGGAATCAGACGAAGGGTTCATCAGTGTGATCAGCAAAACACACCAACTTCTGCAGCAGATGTCACATAAATACAACACACAATATATACAACTCAAAAGAAGTTAAAGAACACCCAGTTTGTTCATATGACCATAGTTAATATGTCATGAAAGAATACTGTATCAGAGCTGAATTTGACAATACTTTCAATGCTAGTGTTATAGTTATGAGAGAGAGAGAGAGAGAGAGAGAGAGAGAGAGAGAGAGAGAGAGAGAGAGAGAGTTTCAAAAGATATACCTTTTGCATTTGTTGCATGTAGAAAAATATCATAAGATGTGAATCTTATATCATGTATATACAGACTCTAAAACAAAAATACCCAAAGCAAGTCTACAATACTTTGGCAAATCTAGAAGATGAACAGATTCAGAGATCCTTTTAAATACATACTAAAAGTCAATTTTACACCAAAAAAAACTTAAAATATTTCAATTTCAGAGACTAAAGCTTAGCCTAAATGTTAATAGGTTTTAATATCCTCATAGACAAATGGTAGATGTTGTCTTAAAAGTGTGTCTGTTTCGTGTGTCTGTGCATTGGTCAGTATCACTGATATGTCTATCAAAGTCAGCAGCCACAATAACATATTGTCACCCTTATCTGAATGATGAAGGAGAGGTCATCTTTATCTAGAATAAGTATTTCCTCTGCTGATAATCAGCAAAACAGAAACAATATTTTTAATTCACATAACTTCCTACCATGGGATAAGCTACATGTTACTTTGTCCTTGTAAACAATTCTTTCAGGATTACGTTCACCCCCGTTATACTTTGATAAACAGATAAACAAATAATAATCAACATAACACCAATAGACTGACAAAAGTTTAGGAAATGACTCAAAGCAGTCGGAGAGCACTTGCTTCTTTCAAATTTCTATATACTCTGACATGACAGATTAACTATAGTTATATGAAAGAATCAGGTTTTCTTTAACATCTTTTGAGTTGTATACATTCCATTGCTTTAAGAATAAATCCACATCCTAGATTGGCAATACATCCTCTTGTCCATCACAACATTTGGGTTGGTTCTTGAACACATATTCAATACTAAGTGAGCAACTGGCTTCAAAATTATTGAAGTGAAGCATATAAATTTTCTTTAATATTTACACCTTATTTAACTCATTAATAGTTCAGATCGTAACTAAAAACCTTAGCAATCAAAAGTAAATTGTTTATATTTATTTCACCATCAACATTCACCATCGCCACTTACCTGTTGTGTTCGTGGGGCTTGTCTGCTGCAAACTATCCCCGCTCAAAAATATCACAGTCAATATCACCCACAACACATGCACCATTTTGAAGGAAGTCACGAACATATTTCCACAACACACACACAAGTCCAAATAAATAATCCACAGTTCCACAATCCGAGGAAGATCCTAGTATACTCGATCACAACCTGTCCTTGGGTTTCCCATAACTATCAAACTGATGGAATTCCTGCCCCGAAATGAGCACAATTGTGACATTAGGGTTTGTCTGTCTCCCCATCGATCCGTCATTCAATCATAGAGTGATGCATCTTGCACATCCTAGTCAAATGAGGTCACAGGGGGGATTGAAACCGCCAGGTATCTCTAGTTGATTTACAACCTTCCCAGCAAATCTCAGGTAGTAATTAACAGTCTCCTGATTAGGTGGCCCTGACTTGGGCCAGTTTGAAGGCACACCTAATTCCAGCAACAACAACCACAAGCTGACTAGTCCTGTGTGTTGACTGGTGTCACCAAATTCAATACCTGGCTGTGTTTATACAGGTAATTAATCCACTCCAAGCAGGTTGCTGAAGCCGTAGTTGATAAAACACATCCTACAATGTCTGAAACTCAGTCCTTGAAATAATGTAGGCCATGCCAGAGAAAGCCTCGTCCCATCCTTGTAAACCAGCCGACCACCATAACAATAGGCCACAGAATTCACCTCGCTCAGCCAACCGGGCCAACTAGCTCCTCTGGCAAAGATTCTCACACAAATGAGGTCTGGACACACTATACAGCCCTTATTTCACCTGGTCATAATTACCAGGTAAGAGTTGGTTGTACAGGCTACCTGAAGACAGTCCAGGTAAGTACAGGTTAACGAGGATCCCTGTTCAATCTTGCCCCTGGCTGTAAGGCTGACTAACTGTCGAGTGTTCAAGTCGTTTACTTCCGGTAAAGGGGACGACAGGTAGAGCGTGGCTGAGTCAGGGTAGCGATGTGGCCAGGTACAGGTGTGAAACACACCTGGAGTCTTCCCAGGGTTGTGGAGGTGGGTGATGGTTAGAAAGTCAACTCACTGATGATGTATGGGGGCATTATTCAGTAAATATATAATTTCAGCCTATCTGATCAATACTTTACATGTGTTATGGCTTCTTCTAAAACAAACATATTTGTCATTCCTTTGTGAGTTTTTCACATGACGAAAATGTAGATTTTAGATGTAAATATATTACCTTATTTGTCCTTGATCAATATTTTGCATAAAATTAATTATAATATTATAAAGAAATTTACTTTCACTACTTCTTTCTGAATACTTTTCTAATTTACCTGTCATTATCATGAATGAGTCATATTTTCTGACACAGGTTAAAAAGACAGGAGAAACAATATATTGACATAAATTGACCAAGAGGAATGTTGTAAATCTTTTTATGTGACTCAAAAGTAGTTACAGAACACTCATTTTTTTATATGATTATAGTTAATCTGACATGGCCTAGATACTAACTATAGTGATATCAAAGAGTAGAGTATATAGTTTTGGTTTGGTTTGTTGTTTAATGCCGTACTCAGCAATATTCCAGCTATATGACGGTGGTCTGTAAATAATCGAGTCTGGACCAGACAATCCAGTGATTAATATCATGAGCATCGATCCACGCAATTAGGATCGATGACATGAATCAACCAAGTCAGCGAGCCTGACCACCCGATCCCGTTAGTCGCCTTTTACGACAAGCATAGTCGCCTTTTACAGCAAGCATGGGTTGCTGAAGACCTATTCTACCCCGGAATCTTCACGGGTCGTAGAGTATATAGATCAAGCACATGACACTTATGAAAGGCATTTAGAAGTGATACACATAAGGAAGAGAATTTATGGATGTCAACTTCTTTATTAAGAGGAACACAACATTTCGGTGTATCTAGATACTAGTAAGTAGATACTACGAAACATTGTGTTCCTCATAATAAAGAATTTGACATCTATAAATTCTCTTCCTCAAACAAGACTAGTTCATGGTGACTGACACAACATATCAATACCCCCCTGCAGTCAATATTTCGTTGTTTATGGGATTGAGGAACCGTGTCATAGACTTGTGAAGCTGAGATGTATTTATCTGTCGGATATAAATACTTCACACATGAAAGCTTCCATTAATTTCGGACTGCATTCCACAGGACAACAACCAGATTAATTGGATGTGGAGGCCATCACTGTCAGGCAAGCACCTGTAGGCAGGAGACGATGAATCAATAGAGTGTCCAGCATTAGGTGGTGGTGGTGGTGAGGTTAAGTGGGGTTTAACGTCGTGTCCAAGATTACTGCTCTCCGAAAGCAACATGAATGCATGTGTGTGTGGCTGCTTGTACAGCTTAGACTGATGCCGATTTATAGTGCTAGCCCAATGAGATACCATGCTGCAGTTTAACATGAATACCCCACTCAAACACAGTATACTGACTCCGAGCCGACCAGTCCTTGTTTTAGCCCCTTAATGCCGAGCACCAGACAGGGTAACAACAAGTACCATCTTTTAACGTCTTTTGGTATGTCGCGGCCGGGGATCGAACTGCGGACCTTCCGCTCTCTGGGCGGATGCTCTCTCACTAGAACACGGAGACGGTCTGTCCGGCATGACACACAACATGGTATACTATATGGGAGTTATTGTCCACCACTAGAACACAAGTAGCACCCAGTACTTAATGTGACCACAAAGTAGGTCTACTCATACAAATAGCCCTCATAGGTGATGGACAGTTTATTTCATTCTTATTATATTATATACTAACCAATTTATCTTCTTAATTGCCAGAAAACTGTTAAAATAGTACTTCATAATTTGGTTAAAATAAATTAGGTCTTTGAAAGGCATTTAGAAGTGATACACATAAGGAAGAGAACATATGGATGTCAACTTCTTTATTATGAGGAACACAACGTCTCAGAGTATGTACTTACTCCTTCATCAGGTGAATGTATGCCATGAGGCATAGGGCATATATATGTACATATATATGTACATGTATTTCATTCACTTGATGAAGGAGTAAGTATATACTACGAAACGTTGTGTTCCTCATAATAAGGAAGTTGACATCCATATATTCTCTTTCTTAAAATAAATTAATCATTAAATTTTCATCAAAACCAACTAGATTCTTTATAAAGGACCGACCATTCTATATTCAGGGGGGTTGGGGGGGGATGTTCTGGGATTTCATTGAAAAAATGTATTGTCCCACAAATGCCTGAAAAATTTAATTATGTTTCAGAATGTTGAAAAAACTAAATTGTCTGCCATGAAAAATACAGTGTTGCAAGATGTATTTAAGAATCTTTTTATTTAGGCTTGTAGTTTTATCCCAAAAAAGTCTGGTTTTGCAGTTACAACAAAGGCGGATTCAACATGAAATGTGATATATTTTGCCTTGTTGACAAAATCTGTTCCTTGTTGATCGATCTTAACAATCAATGTTTACAAAAGAATAATTAAAGTATCTTATTCCATGTTCTCATATATTACACTAGAATAAAACATTTTTCTGAAAAAAATGAAAACTTGAGCATTTCCTTTGCTGAACAGGAATTACGTAACTGGCAATACCACCTTCCTGATCACCTACAGCCACTGAGATATACACTGGTACAAAGAAACACACCCCCATACCAAACCTCTGACACAATCTTCTCACATTCAACCCCAAGCTATTTCAGACACTTGGTCGTGAGTGAGTCACGGACAACAAACATGCTTTGATTGACCACAATCTACGTGTCACGTGACCTTTCAGTAGACAGGTGTTATACTGCACATGGTGTATATGAATGACGTATATACACATGTATATCATTAATGTATCCAGGTAATCAATACAGGCAGTGTGTGAGGATTATTTGGCACATCCTCCATAACACAGCTGCTGCTTCGTCTATGGATGGGATCGGTGTCCTGTTACTGTAACAGTGCACATGGGTGGGGTTTCCATTAGTGAGTATTGGTAAGAGGGTGAGTGAGTGAGTGAGTGAGTGAGTGAGTGAGTGAGTGAGTGAGTGAGTGAGTGAGTGAGTGAGTGAGTGAGTGAGTGAGTGAGTGAGTGAGTGAGTGATGCCTAGAGACTTTCAGCAGTATTTCAGTTGGAACATGGCGTGACAGCTTCACGTGGGGGACAGCCTGATGCAGGTCTTAAACGTCAACCACTCCGGTGAAACCCACAAGCACGGGTACGGTGCTGTCAAACCTTGAAACAAAATCATGGCAACCAAACAACTGAAGCCGGAACACCAAAAGTCAAATTGTAAAAACCTCAGACAACTGGAATATTCTGTGACATCGCTGGATTATTGCTGAAATGTTACTGGAATGTTGCTGCAATATTCTTGAATAATGCTCACAGTGGCACCAAACCAATCGGCATTGCTCTACATTTAACAAGGTCTCATATCGCTCATGTTTGTTCTTGATTGTGAGTGTTCAGCTAAGATTATGATTTCATTATTGTCCTTTGATAAACTATAACAATGAGCTATCATTGCCTGCATACACTGTCCACCCATATGTGCATATAATGACAGTCTGTGACACCTTAGTAAAATATTCAAACTATTTGAGAACTAGACACAAATGGCATCCCCTATTGACTGAAAACACTACAAGAAGATCTTGCTCAGTTTGATATGACACAACAGCAATTTCTTCCAAGCGTTAATAAACACCCTCAATCCTCGAAAACAAAAAAGAAATGTGAAACAAAATTCAGACTTCGCTATCTCCATCATCAAATACGAGTTCCACTTCCTGCAGTCACAAACTCAGTCATGAGTCTAAACATCACAATTTGTTGTGCATCGTCGGCCTTCAACACATACGGTCGGTAAATTAAATGTCATAATTAAACATAACATGTTGCTTACATCAAACATTCAACACCTGCCTGCATCAGGTCATGTGACTTGGTAATTTGACCTCTGTCTGCATCAGGTCATGTGACATGGTCAATGGTCAATGATTCAACCCCTGTCTGCATCAGGTCATGTGACCTGGCAGTTCGGTCAATGATTCAACCCGTCTGCATCAGATCATGTGACCTGGCAATTCAGTCAATGATTCAACCTCTGTCTGCATCAGGTCATGTGACCTGGCAGTTCGGTCAATGATTCAACCCCTGTCTGCATCAGGTCATGTGACCTGGCAGTTCGGTCATTGATTCAACCCCTGTCTGCATCAGGTCATGTGACCTGGCAGTTCGGTCAATGATTCAACCCCTGTCTGCATCAGGTCATGTGACCTGGCAGTTCGGTCAATGATTCAACCCCTGCCTGCATCAGGTCATGTGACCTGGCAGTTCGGTCAATGATTCAACCCCTGTCTGCATCAGATCATGTGACCTGGCAGTTCGGTCAATGATTCAACCCGTCTGCATCAGATCATGTGACCTGGCAGTTCGGTCAATGATTCAACCTCTGTCTGCATCAGATCATGTGACCTGGTAATTCAGTCAATGATTCAACCTCTGCCTGCATCAGGTCATGTGACCTGGCAGTTCGAGAATGATTCAACCCCTGCCTGCATCAGATCATGTGGCCTGGCAGTTCAGTCAATGATTCAACCCGTCTGCATCAGGTGCTGTCATTAGACCAACATGACGCGTGGGCGGAAGGTCATGATGACCTACCAGAGACAGGAGGGGAATTACCCTCATTGTAATCATTATCACCTGCTGGTGAACACTCTGAATAAACAGGTGAAACACACAGCCCCACGGGTGCTTCCAACACTGACTATATGCATAGCTGCATGAGCTTCCATCTGTATACACACACAGCGAGAAAGCTGAAATTCTGCAAATGAATGGATCATTTGTGTATGGAAAATTCATGAATTTTCACCAAAGCATGTTGTTATTGTCGGGTATCATCGAATTGTTAACTGAGAATATA